CGGCATGTGCGTTTTACACTTCCAGCATGACCAGGACGCCGCTGATTATGGGTAAAACAAAATTGGCCTCAAAACACAGGGCATTAACCATACCGCGATTGGAAATGTCTGCCATACTCATGGGAATGAAAATGGCGGAGACAATTTTTAATAACATACCAGAGAAACAGGTATCTATTAATATAGCTTCAGATAGCCAAATAGCCCTATCATGGCTTTTTACTAAGAAAAGCGTCCCAGTGTTCATCAGCAACATACGCCAGAACGTGGAGCAAATCGCTCGGAGGATAGAAAACCAAGGTGCCAACTTAACATTCCAATTTGTAGACACCGAGAACAACCCCGCCGATATTGGAACCAGAGGCACCACAGATTTGGAGCAACTGCAGCAGACATGGCTGCTATCTCCTAGCTGGCTATTAAATCAAGACAGGCCGGTAAAAGAATACACAGCCACCATGGAAGAAGACGAACCTCCGGTACTGATCGTACCGGTCACTACACACAACTGCCAGGAGAATCTTATATCACCGGAACGATTCAGCTCGTACTTCAAACTGAAGAACACATCGGATACTGTGCTAAGAGCAGCACTCATCTTTTTGGGAAAAATTAACAGATCCCCAACATCCCGACTATTAAAGACGGCTAAAAACGAGGAACGACGCTCTCACTCCTGCCACCAATCAGCAGAGCTTCTTTTAATTCAGGAAGCTCAAAAACACCTGTCTCCAGCATACAAGAAACAATACCGTTTGGTGGAAAACGAACATGGATTGCTCACCATTCAAACCAGAGTAATCAATTCTACACTCCCTAAGGAAGCCAAATATCCACTCCTACTACCAAAGAAATCGGCATTAGGTAAACTTATTTTGACCTTCCTCCACAGATCGAACGCCCATGCTGGAGTAAGCCAACTGCTCTACTTATTCATGCGACGATTCTTCATGGCATCCGCCAGACAGGTATGTAAGTCCATCATAAAAAAATGCGTTTCGTGCCAAAAAACGTTATCCAATCCCTTTTCAACAGAATACTTCGCTCCTTTACCAGAGGACCGAGTAACCAAGGCAATGCCATTTAGACATACAGGTTTAGACTGCATAGGACCTATCAAGTTGAGAAAGAATGAGCACGTATATATATTCATATTCACTTGTCTCACTATACGATCAGTTCACCTAGAGCCCATCGACGACATGAGCTCTAATACCTTCCTCAATGCGTTCATCCGGTTTGTAGCCAGGAGAGGATAACCCCATGTACTACGATCGGACAACGGCGCGAACTTCACGCATGCTGCAAAGATTATAAAAATAATGGAGGAAACCAACAAGAAACACATTACTAGCTTCTCCAACTATTTGAAGGACCACAATGTCACCTGGATCTTCAACACTCCCAGCGCCCCATGGACAGGAGGGGTCTGGGAAAGACTGGTCGCAATCANTTCAACACTCCCAGCGCCCCATGGACAGGAGGGGTCTGGGAAAGACTGGTCGCAATCACCAAAAATGCTCTATTCAAGTCGCTGTCTCTTAAAATCATTGGGAGAGATCAACTCAACACGGCCATCATCAAAATAGAAGGCATTATAAACTCTCGACCAATTACATACACAGACTCCAAAAACTTCAACGAGAATCCGCTATCACCAGCCGATTTCTTAACTCATGGCAGTCCAGTTCTAATACCAGGTGAGAACGTTGAAGATTTAGGAGACCGTTTAGAACAGCCTTACTTGATCGCAAGCAACAAACAAGCATTCGAAAACCTCCAAAAAATCGAGATCCTAGCCGAATCTTTCTGGAACACGTGGAATAAGGAATATCTGCTTACGTTACGCCACGCCCATGCCTCACGGAAAAACGTGAGGCATAACCTACGACACCCTTACAAGAACGAAATTGTTCTCGTAGAAGAGGAAAATACCAACCGCAACAATTGGAACATGGCTAGGGTAACCGAATTAATACCCTCTTCAGATAACATAATTCGGACGGTCAAAATC